CCACAAAATGGCATCTTTTATATCAAACAATATTTATTATTGATTATACTGTTTATTATTACATTGTCGATGATCATACTATTTATAATTGATCATATTCTTTGTTACTGTTTTGGACAACATATTTGTGACTTACTGAACGTTTTTAAAAAATCGGAAAAATAAACATTTTTACCATAATTAATTACAAATTGGTTTGAAATTAAGGTCGTTATAATTAATTAAATAATTAAATAAACAAAAAATTTAATAAAATAACCGATATTCACAAGAAATAAGTTAAGAACAACGCTGATGTTAGTAGTGCAATGATTTCCCATTTTGAATTTTGTATTTTCGCTAACATAATCTAATTCAAAAATCTCATGAAATATTTTCATCGAAACGATTCTAACAAATCGTACGAACTTGTGAATTGTGGCCAACATTTTGGGAAAATTTGTACCACTGTGCGCCACGTAGTTTCGATGAATTCTTCGGTAAATTTCCGGCTGTTCGAAGCTAGCGTGTAGATCGAAATGTATAAATGGGTGCTTTATCGCGCGATATTAGAGGGACGCAATTATAACGGCATTAATTATGCCTTGGCAAATATTTAAAACGCGCGCGATTGATGTTTGCTCGTGACGGATAAACGCGGAAGAGGGGCGGTAACGGTAACGGAGATGAAGGGGAACGGATATTCGCTCTCAGATCAGAAGAAATATATTTTCGCTTGGAAATTAATTATTTTCGTGCAAATATCACTTTAATATATTCCAATTGACGGCGGCAGAGGTTCCGGTCCAACGGCGGATTGCCGTCTACCGTGCGAGGCGAATACATCCGCTGTACATATATGCCATCCGACGGAATAAAAGAAGATCCTGTGCCACTCCGAATTGACTTTTTCCGCGAGCCGCGTACGCCGGCCGGAAATGAAAGGAACAAATGTCCTATTTTTTAATCTCGGCCAAACACGGGAAACCAACACTGCCCAGTTAAATACGCTTAATTATATTCTGTGTTTGATGAACTTTAAATAATTCCGACGCGCTCGGTAACAGGATGAATATCCACGTGTGTATCCACGGTACCACCGCTCGTAATTATTCGAACGATACTGATTTCATATCTTATTCCGCTTTTGAATCGTTAGCATGAATTCCTCCGCGTAATCGTTAGCAAATATTTATTTCAATAATTAATGATTCTCGTTATTGCGTGCGGTATTTGTATGCGATTGTTTATCTCTCTAACAATGAACAGAAATGATTATTGGAATAATGACGAATTCTTTAGAAGCTGTAGCTTTTTTTATGTAATAACTTCGAAGATCAACGCTCTTCTGTATGGTTATCATCCTGTTATTTATTGTAGAAATTACAGGAGGAAGATTATGAAGAAATTTGTAAACTTGTTTTTTACGTAACATTTTGGAAGAATGCAGACAAGCAAATGGAAATTATAATCTGTTATTAGAATAGAATGCAAACTTTAAAATATGTTGCGATTCTACCCATCAGATTGTTGCTAACATCGGAGAAACAGTTTAAAAATTGTTTTCGATTAAAATTGTCTTATAAGAAACAAGAACGCCACTGTGTCGAATATAAAAAGAGAGAGAGAGATAAGGAATTATATTTAAATCAGTTTAAAAATGCCAAACGCGACTGAATCTTCAAGAGTATCAAACGTTTCATAAAAATTGCTGGAAATTGAAATTATTAGCTACGTATTTTAATTCTTTTAATATTCATTTCGTAGTAGCACAGACGAGGGTCACACTATTAATTCGTGGTATGTGTCAACAATTTAGTCTACCACGAGTTTCACATGATTTATGATAAAAATATAATGTAAGTACAATTAATATGATCCAAATAACATGCATATAATATGAATATAATGTAAACTCATAAAAATAATACAGGAAGCAAATATTTCTTCGATCATACTTTCTCATTTTAGTCAGAACTAGAAGAGTTAAGTTCAAAATGAAAATTGATACGATTTCAATGTATCTAGCAATGTGTACGACGAAACGATGAAAAAACGGCTTTCGTATAAGAGCCGAAGCGTATAACTGGGTGTGGTCGTATCGGTAATAATGGTTAAAAAGCAAAATTAGTAACTAATATTTCCACCGCATATTATTACACGCCCGGTCTACCGTAAGCTCGCTGCGCGAAACAGTTTTAATTTCGACGTGTAACATTCTGTCGAAAGTCGTTCGAATAATTACGAGCGGCTCGGCGCGGCGCGGCGTGGCGCGGCGTCGGTTGTACAGAAAAATTGCGGGAGCGTCGTTCGAATCGAAAGAGAAAATAATTATTAATCCCCGGGAAGTTGTCGCTGTCCAATGTTTCTGCAGGCCATAATGAGACACGAGCATGGAACTTGCGAAACGAGATTCGAATGCCCCGTTATTAATTCAATCCGTGAAACAGAGAGTTTATCAGGGCCGTGCGTTAATTGCTAACGGCGGATGGAACGAATTGAAGTTTAGTTACGTCGGAACGCTGATTATCTCTGAAACGGGATCGACCGTTTCGATGCTGATTATTGGATTATAATTTCTGCCGGTGCGTCGCACTATGATGTAACCGTCGTTCGAGCCTTCGACGCCGATGCTCGATTCTGCGGCGGCTTGTTGTTCCGGCGTATTGGTAAACATGCAAGGCACATAATACGTTTAAAAGTTACAATATAGAATAATGTACACGACGTATATATTCAAAGGAACATCGAGGTACACTGTAACAGCACATCAGAAGCACAACACGTCGACGCGGCACGTCTATAATACGATAGAGTATGATATAATATAATATAATATAATGTAATATAGTATAGTATAATATAATATAATATATACATATGTATGTATACACACGCAGACTGCCACGCATCGCGTATACATACTGCAATATTCATGGTGTTAATGTAACGATGAGACATCTATGTCCTTACACGTGTGTGTATAGGTGACGATATACATATACCGTATACACATGCGAGCAATAGCTGCATGCAACAGCCAGAAACGCGACCAGCGGGATCGAATCTTTTCTAGTTAAGTGCTCGAGTGCTCGGATAAAAGCATATTACGATCGAACGTTCGGATTCATTTATTTTTCTGTCCTACGACAGTCGATTTCGCCTGGAATTATCATTTAAACAACGTCCGTAAAAAGAGCCGGCCGTGCTCGATGCGTTCAACGAATCGAGAGATGTGCAATTGAGAGAGGTTCACGGACCTTTCCAATTCCGCGCGATTCGTCAACGTTCTCCGTTCGCGGGGAACGGAGAGAGCGCGTTGCGTCGGTGATCCGGAACATCGGGGCTAAATTACATTACTCGTAATATCTTAATCGAGTGACAAAGCAGTAATCCCGGCGGAATTTTCTTCCCGAAACACATTACAGAATCCGACGCATTGTTCTTCACAGATTGGCTGCGAGCTTTATGCGATTATCGAGAAGCGTTGCACAATGCGCTCGCTCTATGGTCCCCCCGCTGCAGATAGGTATATACTAGGGCTTGACGGAATCCTCGATAAAACGATGGGAAAAAAGGTAAATGGAGACGAGAGAGAGAGAGAGAGAGAGAGAGAGAGAGAGAGAGAGCTAGATATAGAGAGAAAAAAAGAACTTACCGACACCGGAGTAGGCTTGCATTCCGGGATACGCGGCGGCATGCTGGAGTGCCGCCTCCCCGTTGGGCAGCCCTTGTGCTGAAATGGACAGATGGAGGGCATCTACACTTCAGTAAGCTCAGCTCTTATCGGGGACAGACCTACGTCTAAGGCCCCTCTCGCAATACCTACTGACCAATCGATATCGCACGGTATCCTAGATTTGAGGATATCTTTTTGATAATACCGCAAATGTTCACGCGTCGGGGGTACGAAATTTCCTCGAGTATGTTAATAGATTTCATTCGGTGATTCTGTTTCTGTTTGACACCTTACTCTTAACACTCGGACGATGACTATAAATAGTGTTATATGATTACATGGTTTCTGACAATGAATTTTGATTTTTTACATGTTTCATTAAGGTTCATAGGAAAACTTACGAGTTTAGAAAAAATGCCTTAAAGAAAGATGTTGATAAATAAAACTAATAATTTTCTTAAACAATATTCTATAAGAATATAGAAGCTAACAGTAAGTATAATATCGAATATACATATGTACATGTAACAACCGTGTATTTTCTAAATAAACCATCTGGTTTAAAGCATTAATAAATGAATAAATAAATAAATAAATGATTCTAGACATACTAGTCGTATTTTTGTCAAAAAGGTTCGCCGTTAGAGTGTCAACGGTGGATAATCTCTTTTACACGCTGACTGCCATATGCCGACCCTGAAGAATCCTACAAAATTGAAGTAGAATTACGGAGGCTGCAATTCTCTTATTCTTAAAACACGGTTCACACGTAAAGAGTTTGATTTCGTGCGTGGCACGATTTATTATATAAATCGATAAAGATTTAGTCCAGCAACTAATTAGTTCGTATGACTCTAATTCTACTGTAATTTAGTTAACATTAGAATTTATTCAGATTTTGTACATTTTTTATTGTAATATGTACTGCAATTAAGAAGGTGATTGAGAATTTTTTTAAACATTTTTATAGTTTCGACAATTATTAAAGAAATATGTATGACCGTGTTATTTTGACCCTACAGACAGTTTTAGTGTTAATTAAATAAAAACTGGAAAGTTAAGATTTATTGTAGAGATTGATAGTAGTCTTATTCTAATAAAGATTTATTAGATTTAGTTTTACATATTACAATTAAATAGAATTTCTATATCTGGTCAAAGTACGATACTCATATATAACCGCTATGATAGCGAACTTGTTAAACATCTACGATGCACAGCAAAGAATTTATTATACTCATTTGTCAGTGGACGATTGGAATTTTAAGAATATTTCAAATACTCTTAGAAGCTTATATGAATAGGTTTCCGACAAGTAACGTGTTAATATGGAGTATCAACATTGGAGTATTTGACAGAACAAATGAAATCAATTCATCTGAAATTTGTGTATGCTTGTGTTATGCCAATTTTGTTAGTTCAGTTTAGTTAAAGATGCAGTTTGTACAGCACAAATTGCTTCATTGACGATTGACGTGGTGTCAGTTCTCTTGTATATCTCATATCAAATATTTTAATTAGTTTTTATTTTGTGAACACAGAATTATCGTTTCTCTCATCTACAATGATCAGAAATATTAATTTCAGTGAAATAATAACCGTATACTGTTCCATTGTTCGGTTTTATTTAGAAGACTCAAGGAACTTTTGCTAACTAAGCGAAAAATATAAAATCTATTAACTTGTTTGCAATCTAAACGTTAAAAGGACTATTTTTTAACATAGAATAGATAAAATTTTAAGTTGCTTGGTTCAATAATTTTTTGTTAATCTTGTCAACTGCTGCGGTAAAGTTGATCCGAGAAATTAAAATTTTTAATAGATATAACTATTGATGCATAACTATGAATTTAAATCTGAAACTACAAAAATATAATCAGTATGTAAGATATTGCTTAATGTAAGGAAACATAATTTTTGAAACTGGCATCTTAAATTGTCTTTAAAAACTTTAAATACCTCCACAAATTATCTTATAGTTACCAACCAACTCGTTGATTTTGAAAGTGTTAATTCTTTACAGAAATGAACAATCTTGATAGAAAAGTGTAATTAGAACCAGAATCATACTAAAATATTTGCAAAAACAAATAATCTTTTGACGGACTATTTATTAAATTTCTTTTTAGCATTAAATATGTTGAACAATAATATTTTGGAATATTTCAAATGAAAAACTCGTATAGTTTTTTACTTCAAAAATATTGGAATCAAAAATTTGAGCAATCTCGTGTCTTTATACTGATAATTATAATTTGTTAATTTTTGCGTGTCCTTTTTCTTCGTACCTGTATCATTTCACACCTGTAGACAAAGTACATAGAATATAGAATATTACTGAAACACGATGAACTGCAATGAAACATGATGCCAGGAGCTGATCAATACCGACAGTAAATTACTTACTATCGAATACATCGAATGTAGAATCAGAAACTCTATGCCCATTAAGCATACTGCCTACATATTACAAATTCCCGCGAATGTACAAACAAGTCTCCTAACAGAACAGTTACTTCAAAATCGAGCAATAGCATCCGAGCACTAATATATATCCCAGTAATATTAATATTCCAAATTTAAAAGTACAGTAAATTCTCCCAAACTTTCTTTCAGCTAGTAAACAAAACTGGACAATTTAAGAAGAGGAGATACGATTACTATAGCCTTGTATCTCGTTTTTATAATTATTGACAATCGGAAACTATAAAAATGAGCCGCGAGGCTCGAATAATCGTGTCTCCCTTTCCCAAATTGTCCATTTCAGTTTACAAGCTGAAGGAAAATTGGGGGAATATACTGTACACAACTCTGCTATACACTATAGGTAACATCATAATTTCAAAAAGCGTGACAACGCGTCCAAAACGTAGACGATCTATCACAGAACAATTGAATCGTTACGAAACGAAAACAGAAAAATGAATCGTCTTTTAAATACCATAGAAACAATAGTATTTAACGCGCACGATTAGCATCAACGTCGAGGGAAATTTCGTTTCCGTTTATCCGGAAAGTGATTGAAAAATCAATGTTCGTAGTTTCGCGTCTACAGTCGCCTTATATATGTATATGTATATGCATATATATATATATATATATATATATATAATATATATATATATATATATATATATATATATATATTATACATATTATTATACGTATACATATTTTTCGAAAACGCAAACTTTTCCCGAGGTTGGCTGACGGTAGAATCGAAGCACGGGGCGAGGTTACTTGGTTATCGTCGGAAACGCAGAATAATACAGTCCAGCGTCGATTGGCCGAGCATTGCGCAGGGGCGGCACACTGCGCCTGAGTTGATACTCACGTCCCGGGTAGGTCTGCGGTATCCCGTTGGTGTAGACACCTGGATCCGCCGAACCTGCCGTTGCAGCGTTAGGTGTTTGTGCAGCCATGTTGAAATTGGGCATCGTTGGCGACGGTAACGACGGTATCGCACCGTTAACCGGCTGCCCTGTACCGGTACCTACGAGCAAACCTGATCAGTACACACCGGTTACCCTCTTGCTCTTACAACATCGACCTCAGTCACCCTCCCCGGCGCGCGGCATCGGATCCGGAATGCTCACGGCGTCTGTCTAACGTTTAGCTAGTTGCCCTCTGTACATCCTGTCAACCGATTTACGGTATATACCGTATAATTGGTAGGACGTCAGACCGGGTTTACGGATGATCCGTATGCCTCGCGCCGTGTTTGAGGATCCATATGATCTGCAGATCGCAGGAATGTTGATCCGATCTTAGGACCAATAACGATTCGTGACAGGCTGACGCCGCGCGGATTGCTGATCCGCTCTTTAGCCGAATCAACTTCAATGGGGCGCCGCGGTTATATGCGGTAAACAGAGAAAAGTTGGCAATTCGTTATCACCGAACTGCCCAGCTTTACGCAGAACAGAAATGTTGTGCGCCGATTTCATGAAACAGGGCAGCTACTTGAAAAATTCTGTCTTTGGTCATTTTCTAGAGTAATGCATCGATATATTATTCAATTCTTCTAATCTTCTGCACTCGAGAATTTTAACTCGAAGTGTGAAACACGTTCTTTCACCTACAGTATTTTTCATTTCCATAGTTTTGGCACGTACAATAACCGCACTTCCCGCAGTATTTTAAATATAAACAAATTTCACACTGTCAACATTATTTTGCAACGCGGTATAGCAATTTCTGCTGGCGCCTTAGAGTCGCCACTCGAGTGTGCAGGGTTAATCCTCGGATAACGATTCGCAACTATAAATATAATATATTCAGTTTTTAGAATTTTTGAAGACACGTTTTGTAAACTTGATAGTCATTCTCTGTTGTTCCTACTGCAAATAGCAATTTGTTTAACTAAATTGCCGAAAACGGAGTATTTAGGTGAAGTTTTAAACACATTGGGCCAAAATGACCCAAAATGACACCTATTTATTCCTGTCATAAATGCATAAAATTCATAGCCTAGTTATTACTAATCGTTTACAATATTTAGCAATAAAACTAGAATTCATAATGAGTTTCATTGATTATAGAATAAACAGTATCATTTTAGAAAATGTCTCAATTGTATTTCTTTGAAAATTAGTTCGATCTTTTGCATTCAATTTTACTTGCATTCTTTTGTATACAGTAATAATATTCAGTTCCGGATTAAATTAAACATTTTATTAGGTGTCGAAAAGTTTTTTAAATTGAACTGCTGGTTTCTTAAAACTTCTCTGCGTGATTTAAGGGTTTGATCAAATGTTAACTCTTTTAGAACATGCGATTTTGAAGACATTTATTAAAAATACCATATATTTCTTGCGAGGAAGATTTATCTTCACGTTTTTTATTTATTGTACTACAAAAACTATGTAATTTTATATGACGGAAAGAAAGAGTCAGTTGAAACCGACAGTGTTGTTTCCTGTTTTTACTAGATTTATATTTGAATTTATACTTAAATTTAAACGTACATAAATTTTTCAAATGGTACAACGTTGCCAACTTTCCCCTAATTTATAGATGCAATGGATAAAATATTTGTTGTTAAATGGAATAACATGACGTTATTTAAAATTAAGGAGAAGCATTGTTTATAAATATTCCGAAAAATTTTGAAATACATGAATAATAAAATCTCTTCATTATGAACAAAATCATATTATTTCAGCACTAATATTTGACCTAAATATGATTGCAAATCGTATGTAAGAAATTGCTTGAAAATATACGATATTTATACGTTTCTCTTTACAGAAGCAGAAAGAAAGGTTCAAAACCACGCCGGCATTAATTTCAAATCTAAATAACAAATGCGAATAAATTTATTTTATTCTTAAACTTTTGCTGCAAATAATATGTGCTTTCACAAAGTCAACTCAATTTGAAACTCTATTTTACTGTAACAACGTGCCTTTACCACCTCCGAAAACTATCATACCCCGACGATATTTTCTTAAACAACGTCAGGATCAAAGGATTAATTAACCCTCACACGCAGCTCGAATAAAATGTGACCCATTTTCTGTTTCACATACTGCAAAATCAATTACAGTAGAACCTCGATTATCCGGGCTAAACAGAGTCACATAAATGTTCCGATAATGGAACAGTTACTTAATTACAGTGCCAGATCTTGATGCATTTTTGCAGTAATTTGTTTTGAAGACGTATTGTCTTAGATTCGATTGATTACATGTGAAAAGTATTTGCATAATATTCTGATATTGAAGGACCAGATAATCGAGGTTCCACTGCACTTTTTTGTGCAATTTTACGTATCTATCTATATATATACGTATATATTACATATATATCTATATATTTATCTATATATTATGTCTAATCGAATAATTAAACTCACAATTGATCGAACAAAAATGCAATACAAAAATGGTTGAGAAATACGAAAGGATCTCCTCGCCGACTATTTCGAAAGAACAAATAAGGGTTAATTAATTTCTTTATGCAATTTGATGTGTTTCTTCAAACTAATCAAATAATTAAACTCACGATTGAGCGAATTAAATTGCAATACAAAAATGCTTGAGAAATACGAAAGAATCTCCTCATCGATTACTTTCAAAGAACATACAATACATACAAGGGTTAATTAATATCAACCGTAAAATCTCTACGATCCATTCGACGGAATCAGTCGTCACGTGTTGTGTGTCACGTAGGAATGATAATGGCGGTTCCCGGTGGCGTATCTCAGGCAAATAAATGCGTACAGACTCGGCAAACTGCGGCACAGGTGGGCGGGGTAGGGGCCAGGAAGGGGTGAAGAAGAAATAAAATATTATTTTCCTATCAAACGGTATTACCTTTCGCTCGACGAGACTCGACGTATATCAGAGCGCTTGCGGAGAGCCGATTTCCGTGCTTACTTTACTTGTCTGTACTATTCCGCCCTCTCCCCTTTTCCACTTTGTGTGCGCGTTCGACGAGCGAGGAGACCGTGGGATAGGGAAACCGAGCGAATCCGGAGGGTGGGGACAAAGCGGGCCGAAAGGGTAGGGAGGGAGGAGGCGTAGGCGAAGAAAGAACTATGCTTTTTGGCTTTCCTCCTTCCCGTTCGGCGAGTTTTCGATAAAGTTTCGCGGTACTGGCAATATCTTTCGCCCGAGTCACGCTCGGTGAAAATGTTGTATTGATTTACGAGCCGGTTATAAGGCAACGGACTGCGGCGCTCCTGCTGCTGCGAGCCTCGCGAGGAACAAGCCGGAGAGGCCGGGATAAAAGGGGAAAGATAAAGAAAGAGTTTTGCGTCGGTAAAACGGAGCAATTGCCCGGCAGAGTATACATATGTGTGTACGTGCGATTCCGAACTCGTTTCTCCTCTACTCCATCCCCTCTGCCGAATGTTTTTCCGGAAATCAACCGACCAGCCGATTCCTCCTCAACCTCACCAAGACGAACGTTGTTGCGTCATTCGGGCTATTTCTGCTCGCCGTGAACGCGGTACAGCAGTGCACGGTTGAATTTACACGGATTCGGGAGCCAGGTACATTCTCGCGTACGGGACAGGGATCGCAAAACCGACTTTTTCAATTACCAGTAATTCGGTAAAATTTTCAGTTAAACGTAACAATTGTAAGGTTAGTTCTCGCGAGAGAAACGTCAAAAAAGAGTGGGTTGTTTTTTTTAC